AAGCAAATTGATAAAATAAACAAAAAAATGGGCGGAAAATGGGCACAAAAACAGTGATTTAAAAAAACGTCGACAAAAAATGCCAGTAAAAACACCAAAAAAGACGAAAAAATTGTCTTAAAAAAGCAACAAAAATAGAAAAATAAACGACTTAATAACACGATGAAAAGAAGGAAAATATAACAAAAAGAGCAAAACAAAAAAGCGTCAAAAGTGCACAAAAAAAGTCAAAAATGGGCAAATATGACGACAAAAAAAGCGTTCATTGGGCGGACAAAAACTCGCCAAAAAGTGACAAAAAAATGTTTTCAAAAAATACATCAAAACAGTCACTAAGAAAATAGTACAAGAAAAAGACAACAAAAATAAGGAGGAAAAAATAAAGTGAAAATAAAACGACAAAATCCCTTTAAAATGGAAAAAAAGCGCTAAAAAGAGCCAAAAGAGAAATAAATTCAAAAAGGCAATAAAAATGCGGCATAAGTTCGTTGAAATTGTAACAAAAAATGTGAAAAAAACATCCAGAAAAAGAAAATTAAAAAAATAAAAAAAAAAATGGGCGGAAAATTCAGCAAAAAAAGGCGGACAAAAATGAACAAAAAATAATAACAAATAAGAAAAAGGCAAAAAAACGCCAAAAAGGCGGAAAAATAACGTGATGAAAACGCAACAAAAAAATTGAAAATAAACGACTTAATAAAACGATAAAAAGAGGGAAAACATGCCAAAAAAACAAACAAAACAAAAAAGCGTCAAAACATGCACAAAGAGTCAAAAAAAGGACAAAACTGACGACAAAAAAAGGCGTTCATAGGGCGGACAAAAACGCATAAAAAGTGACAAAAGTGACCAAAAAAAGATAAAAAATGTTTTCAAAAAATACGACAAAATAGTCACTAAGAAACGAGTACAAGAAAAATGTAACAAAAATAAGGAAAAAAAAGACGCAAAAAAAGAGAAATTAAAAAAAGCAGACGAAAATAAAGTGAAAATAAAACGAGGAAAATCCGTTTAAAAACAAAAACCACGATTTTTTGGTTTTTTATTTTTCTGTTCTTTTTAATTGTTTTTGATTGGTCGATTTTTCTTTGATTTTTTTTCATTTTCTGCCTATTTTCAAGCATTCACAAATCACAAATATGCGGCGAAAAAACCGTGCTAGAGCCAAAAAAAGAGAAATATTCAAAAAATAATAAAAACGGGCGGAAAATGCACCAAAAAAACAAAAACAAAAAGTAATAAAAAAAAAAGATGAAGTCGACAAAAAATGTCACTAAAAACAAGGAAAACGCAACAAAAATAACGCCAAAAAATATGAAAAAATGCGCAACAAAAAATACGAAAATAAACTACTTGATAACACGATAAAAAGAAGAAACATATGACACAAAAACAAAACAAAAAAGCGAAATAAATGCACAAAGAGAGTCAAAAAGGGGCAAAAATGACGACAAAAAAGCGTTCATAGGGCAGACAAAAATGCGCCAAAACGCGAAAAAACAAAATGTTTTCAAAAATACATCAAAATAGTCACTAAGAAAACAGTAGAAGAAAAAGGCAACAAAAATAAGGAGAAAAAAGGGTAGAAAAAAAAACTCACGAAAAAAGACGCAAAAGAGACCAAAAAAAAGGGAGACAAAAATAAAGTGAAAATAAAACGACAAAAAAATGGGAAGAAAAAACTGTCGTTGAAAATGGGAAGAAAAACGCACACAAAAAATAAAAAAAAGGCAAATTGAAAAAAAAAGCGTAAAATGTAGCAAAAAAAAGTGTTGAAAAGGCGGACAAAAATGCACCCAAAAAAGTGATTTAAGCCGATGATGTCGACAAAAACTGCCACTATAAGGAAGGAAAATGCAACAAAAATAACGCTAAAAAAGACGAACAAAATGTGATAAAAACACAACAGAAAATATGAAAATAAACGACTTAATAAGACGATAAAGACGGAAAAAAATGCACAAAGAGTCAAAAAAGAACAAAAATAACGACAAAAAAGCGTTCATAGGGCAGACAAAAACGTATAAAAAGTGACAAAAGTGACCAAAAAAGAGATAAAAAATATTTTCAAAAAATACGACAAAATAGTCACTAAGAAACGAATACAAGAAAAACGCAACAAAAATAAGGCACAAAAGTGCAGAAAAAACGCAACAAAAAAGACGCAAAGAAGAGATTAAAAAAAGGAGACGATATAAAGTGTAAATAAAACGATAAAAACCGTTAAAAATGAGGGAAAAAAGGTGCTAAATAGCCAAAAAAAAGGGAAACATTCAAAAAACAATAAAAATAGGGGAAAAATGCGGCAAAAAGCTAATGAAAATGGAACGAAAAAACGCGCAAAGAGTTGCGAAAAAGTAAATTGATAAAATAAAAAAATGGGCGGAAAATGCAGCAAAAACAACAAAAGCAATAAAAAAAAAAGACGAAATCGACAAAAAATGTCACTAAAAAGAAGGAAAACGCAACAAAAATAACGCCAAAAAATATGAAAAAAAAGTGAGAAACGCAACAAAAAATACGAAAATAAACTACTTGATAACACGATAAAAAGAAGAAACATATGACACAAAAACAAAACAAAAAGGCGAAATAAATGCACAAAGAGAGTCAAAATGGGACAAAAATGACGACAAAAAAGCGTTCATACAAAAATGCGCCAAAACGTGAAAAAAAAATGTTTTCAAAAATACATCAAAATATGTAGTCACTAAGAAAACAGTAGAAGAAAAAGGCAACAAAAATTAAGAGAAAAAAGGGTAGAAAAAAAAACGCAAGAAAAAAGACGCAAAAGAGACTAAAAAAAAGGGAGACAAAAATAAAGTGAAAAGAAAACGACAAAAAAATGGGAAGAAAAACGCACACAAAAAATAAAAAAAAGGCAAATTGAAAAAAAAGCGTAAAATGTAGCAAAAAAAGTGTTAAAAAGGCGGACAAAAATGTACCCAAAAAAGTGATTTAAAAAAGCCGACGATGTCGACAAAAACTGCCACTAAAAAGAAGGAAAATGCAACAAAAAAAAAAAAACGCTAAAAAAGACGAACAAAATGTGATAAAAACGCACTAAATAAGGAGAACGCAACAAAAATAACGCAAAAAAAAGACGAAAAAATGTGACAAAAAATGGTTAAAAAAAAAACAAAAAGCGATAAAAAAGGGGAGTTGTGCCCAAAAAACAAAAAAAGTGACCAAAAATCAATAAGAATACGGATACAAACAGACTGGAAAACCTTTATTAATTACTAACTTGAATAAATAAAATTTCAATTCAGACTTTACAAAAGTCAATTTTTCAACATTCTGTGAGAATTTTGATGTCTTTAAGTGTCAGGACTGGTACAAACTTCGGGTTCAAAATTCCGTAAACCAGCGCTCTCGACTTTGGTAAAAACATGCCAAATACCAAACATCAGATTTTTAATTTATTAATTAAACTTAAATTGTATATAATACACTGCAAAGGTGTTGTTAGAAAAGCTCCAGAATTTATGATTAAAATATTTACACACTTCTTTGAAGTAAATTTTATGAAAATAAAATCATATCTCCTTCGCACAAATTTTGAATGCAACCCAAAATAAACTCCTCCGACCCAGATAAATACGAAATCTTTTAAAATGAGGTGGAGTAATTCCCAGTGATTACTTTTTGTGAAATGCTAAAAGTAGTTAGAAAAGAGCAAACGTAAACACAATCAGTAAAATCCAAAAGTGAAGATAAATTATATCAGTGTAAACAATCTACAAAAAAATATGTTTAAACATTTTTGGTTTTCATTCAAAAAGTATAAATCAAGCCAGACATTAAATATTTAACTTTTTTTCCTGATAAAGCAAACAGTAAAAATTCTGCGAAAATCGCACGTCACTTTAATAATGATATCACAAATATGTAAAAAGATATCTCTATTTGGACGTTCCTTATTTGCACAATTAATGACAAGGTCGCAATATTTTTATCTGAAATGACAATTTCAACAATTGATAAACTAGTCAAACACGCGAATAAATTAACTGTTTCCGCAGCCACGAAACGTGTGGGAGCCGCAGAAAATTAAAAAAAAAAACGCTCACACTTTACTGACGTGAGAGTTTTATCAAGGCGATTGGACACTACTTCCTGTGAATATCAACAAGTTAGAGATCTATCTATACTATTATTGTTGTGGCTAGTGAAAATAATATTTCCGGTGACGACTGAGCAGAATAACAAACGTTATGATTTTTAAAAGTATTAATATTAATCCAGTGCTGCCAATTAAAAAAAGGGGGAGTTCAATGGCTTGTCATAAACTAGTCCAAAGTGAACCCAACATAAATAAACGATAAAATATCATAAACAAGAGAAGAGGTCTGCAGTCATAAAACCACCCCATTCTGTTTACGTCTTGGAGTTGTCTTTGTTTATTTCACTCACCAGTTTTCTGCATGTGGAGGAAAACCATGACATCGTGCGAGTCCATGTCAAAGGAAAAATCGTCGTTTAACATATCGTCGTAGCTTAAACCTACTTTGCTATTCGCTTGAGCTAAGGGCTTCCCCATACTATCTTCTAATGATATGGATGCTTCTTTGTTGCTAAGGGCACATACCTGGAAGAACTCAGCAGTCGGTCATCACTCTCATGAATGAAAACGTTACGTACTTTGTCTGGACAGAAGTAGCCGAGGCCCACGATGCCAAACAGGGCGAGGGCCACGCAGAAATACCCTATCCGTCTTAACCTGGAAGATTTTGGCTCCATTTGCTTAATCTCATACACACCATTCGGCAGCAGCAGTGCTATGTCGCTGTCAATTACTTGCACCGACACGCTCTTCAAATTCTTCATTATTCATCGCATATCGACACAGGATTTGAATTAATTATAAATTTTTAACATTTCGCGGAGCACAACACGCAGTGCGGCCATTTGCAAAACATTGACAGAATTGACAGCGAAACAGCGACTTTTAACCGACTTTAACCGCAGTACGCAATCGCCAAATCCCCAAACCCCAGCACAAAAAAACACTTTATTAAAATAAAAATCAACGAAAACACGAAACGAACAGTGAAAATACACACGACCAACTAAAATACAACTAGTCTCGAACGTCCGGAGAATTTATTCAGTCAGCGATCACCTCCTGTCGTTACCGCGCAGCCCCCTATTCAAAAATTGAGCGACTTTTTGTCCAAGGGGCCGTAATTGTACGACTCCCAGTCGGGCTCTATGATGAAATCTCGACTCTTGGGGCGGTACAGGGGCGGCTCGTACTTCCACGGGGGCTGCTTGAAGGGTACGGCTAAAGGGGAGCGATTAACACAGTTTTAGGGTGACAACAAAACAGTACCTGCCCCCGAGGGTAAAATACCGACGACGTGCAACCAGTAGAGCGCGTGAGCCAAGAACCAAGTCAACCAAATCAGTTCCTTGTTGTAGAAAAACGAGGGGCGCTTTTGGGGCCACACGAAAATCAAGCCCCTCTGGTGGAACCTCGACTTGTTCATGTCTTTGGGGATGAGGATTTTCTTGTAAATGTCGTCGCGGGAGGGTTTGGTGCGGATGCCTGAAAATATGTAATGGTTGAGGCTGATGACGGGGGTGGGTTTGGTCCCGGGGAGGGGCCGCAGGCTGTCGGTGTTCATTTTAGTTGCTTTGAGTTGGAGTTGGGATGGAACCGAAATTTTCGTGCGGGAGATGTTTGTGTGTTTGAAAATTGTTGACATTTGGCGCTTGTCAAGGGAAGTGTCTAGGAACACGACCTCGGAGAGCTTACGGGTCGCGGACATTTTGAGGTGGAGGGTTCTAGCGAAGAGGCAACTTTTAATAAAAGGGGCACTGAAATTTTGATTGTGTAGTGGACGGGGTAGGATCGGACTGATTTTGTTTGGCGTTCCTAGGGAGCAGAGAATGGCAGAAAGGTGTCAAAATTATGTTAGAACTCCAGGTGCCACTTGAAACGATAAAGAAAACCGTTTAAAACTTTCTGAGATGAACAAAATACAAAACTAAAAACTTTAAAACCCACTACGAAGTTTTACAAAAACCGTAGTTTCTCAAAATTGTAGCCAAACAAAATTTCCGTTTAGGACAGTTCGTAAAGCCGCACATAGATGGAGTCAGTGTTCTGGGGAACTAAAGTCCGTAATTATCATGGTGAATGGTGGTTGAAGCTCAAAACATACGTAATTTTCCAAAAAATAAATTTTACTTACGATGTGTATTTTGTGTTGCATATGTACACACTATATGTAAATGTATGAATGTCTAGTTTATTCTGTCGGGTTTATTTTTTACTTCTTTCTCTATATTTTAGTCTTAAAACTACAACCAATCTTTATAATAAAATTTTACGGAAAAACATATACATAGATACAATTTCAAAATCAAACACATGTTATATGTTACGTCTATAGGGGTTAAGGTTTATCTTTTTTCCCACTGGGGTCAACAATATCTCCGTTGAGATTATACAGTGTATTACTAATTACAGAATTTCCGGAATCTAAGTAAACCTTTTCGGAAATATCCAGTATCAATCAGTTAAGAGATATTTTTTTAAAGTAATTGAAGAAATCTTAAGGAATCATTCCGTTTTATTTTTGAAGTACATTAAAAGAATCTCGGGGACCCCTTGTGTCTTGTTTTTGAAGTAGTTTGAAAGAATCTCGAGGACACTTTGTGTTTTGTTTTTGAAGTAGTTTGAAGAATCTCGGGGACAACTTGTTTGGTTTTTGAAGCCGGTTGAAAGAATCTCGGAAACCCCGTTGTATCTTATTTTTGAAGTAGTTTTGAACGAATCTCGAGGCACTCTTGTGGGTCTTGTTTTTGAAGTAGTTTGAAAAAATCTCAGGAACACCTATGTTTTATTTTTAAAGTAGTTTAAAAAAATCTCGGGGACCACTTGTGTGTTGTTTTTGGAGTAACTGAAGGACACTCAAGGAATCGTTGTGTTTTGTTTTTGAATTAGATTAAAACAATCTTGGGAAACATTTGTGTCTTGTCTTTGAAATTGTTTGAAAGAATCTCCAGGACATTTTGTGTTTAGTTTTTGGAGTAGTTTCAAAAAATCTCAAGGACTTCTTGTGGGTCTTGTTTTTGAAATAATCGGAAGAATCTCGGTGAAAACTTGTGTTTGGTTTTTGCAGCAATTGAAAGAATCTCAGAAGCACCTTGTGTTTTGCATTTGAAGTAATTGAAAGAATCTCGAGGACCACTTATGGTTCTTGTTTTTGAAGTACATTAAAAAAATCTGGGGGACCACTTTTGTCTTATTTTTGAAGTAGTAGTAAAGAATTTCGAAGACATTTTGTGTTTTGTTCTTGAAGTAGTTTGAAAGAATTTCGGGGACAACTTGTGTTTGGTTTTTGAAGTAGGTTGAAAGAATCTCGGGGATCCCTTGTGTCTTGTTTTTGAAGTAGTTTGAAAAAATCTCGGGGGTTCCTTATTGGGTCTTGGTTTTAAAGTAATTGAAAGAATCTTGGGACCTCCTGTGGGTCTTGTTTTTCAAGTAACTGAAAAGGATAACTTGTGTTTTTGGTTTTTGAAGTAGGTTGAAAGAATCTAGAGGACCTTTTGTGTTGTGCCCAAAGGTGTCTACTATACATATATTATTACATCTCACTGGTTGTGCCTTTGAAGTAATTTGAAAAAATCTTGAGGATCACTTTTGTTTTTGAAGTAATTTAAGAAATCTCCAGGAATCCTTGTGTTATGTTTTTGAAGTAGATTAAAAGAATCTCGGGGACCCCTTGTGTCTTGTTTTTGAAGTAGGTTGAAAGAATCTCGTTAACCCCTTGTGTCTTGTTTTTGAAGTAGTTTTGAAACAATCTCGAGGCCCACTTGTGGGTCTTGTTTTTGAAGTAGTTTAAAAATATCTCGGAAACACCTGTGTCTTGTTTTTGAAGTAATTGAAGGAGTCTCAGGGAATCCTTGTGTTCTGTTTTTGAAGTAGATTAAAACAATCTTGGGGTCCACTTGTGCCTTGTTTTTGAAATGGTTTGAAAGAAACTCGAGGACATTTTGTGTTTTGTTTTTGAAGTATTTTCGAAAAATCTTGAGGATTTCTTATGGGTCTTGTTTCTGAAGTAATTCAATGAAGCTCGGGAACCTCCTATGGGTCTTGTTTTTCAAGTAATTGAAACAATCTCGGAAACACCTTGTGTTTTGTTTTTGTAGTAGTTTGAAAGAATCTCGAAGACATTTTGTGTTTTGTTCTTGAAGTAACTAGTTTGAAAGAACCTTAGAAACAACTTGTGTTTGGTTTTTGAAGTAGGTTGAAAGAATCATCTTCGGGACAACTTGTATCTTGTTTTTGAAGTATATAGTTTGAAAAAACCTGAAGGACCTATTTTGGGTCTTGATTTTGAAGCAACTGAAAGAATCTCGGGAATAATTTCAGTTTTGTTTTTGAAGTATGTAGTTTGAAATAATCTCGAGGGCTACTTATGGTTGTTGTTTTTGAAGTAATTGAAAGAATCTCGGAAACATCTTGTGTTCAGTTTTTGAAGTACATAGTTTAAAAGAATCTCTGGGACGACTTTTGTCTTGTTTTTCGAGTAGTTTAAATAATTTCGGGGACTACTTATATTTTGCCTTTGAAGTAATTTGAAAGAATCTCGGGGACCACTTGTGTCTTGTTTTTGAAGTAATTGAAGGGCACTCAGGGACTCCTTTTGTTTTGTTTTTGAAGTAGATTACAACAATCTTGGGAACCGTTTGTGTCTTTTTTTTAAATAGTTTGAAAGAATCTCGAGGACATATTGTGTTTTGTTTTTGGAGTAGTTTGAAAAAATCTTAAGGACTTCTTGTGGGTCTTGTTTTTGAAGTAATTGAAAAAATCTCGGTGACAAATAGTGTTTAGTTTTTGCAGTAATTCAAATAATCGCGGAAACTCCTTGTGTTTTGTTTTTGAAGTAGTTGAAAAGAATTTCGGGGACTACTTGTGTTTTGCATTTGAAGTAATTTGAAAGAATCTCGAGGACCACGTATGGTTCTTGTTTTTGAAGTAGTTTGGAAGAATCTCGAAGACATTTTGTGTTTTGTTCTTGAAGTAGTTTGAAAAAATCTGGGGGACAACTTGTGATTGGTTTTTGAAGTAGTTCTGAAAGAATCTCGAGAACCTCCTGTGGGTATTGTTTTTGAAGTAGTTTAAAAGAATCACGGGGACCACTTGTGTTTTGCCTTTGAAGTAATTTGAAGGAATCTCGAGGACCACTTAAGATTCTTGTTTTTGAATTAATTAAAAGAATCTCAGGGAATCCTTGTATTTTGTTTTTGAAGTAGATTAAAAGAATTTCGGAGACCATTTGTGCTAGGTTTTTGAAGTAGTTTGAACGAATCTCGAAGACAATTTGTGTTTTGTTCTTGAAGTAGTTTGAAAGAAACTTGGGAACAACTTGTATCTTGTTTTTGAAGTAGTTTGAAAAAATCTGAAGGACCTCTTGTGGGTCTTGCTTTAGAAGTAACTGACAGAATCGTCCCCGAGATTCTCCTGTGGGTTGAGGTAATTGAAAGAATCCCGGGAATAGTTTGTGTGGTGTTTTTGAAGTAGTTTAAAGGAAATTCGAGGACCACTTGTGTTTTGCTTTTGAAGTATAGTTTCAAAGAATCTCGAGGACCACTTATGGTTGTTGTTTTTGACGTAATTGAAGGAATCTCAAAATCCTTGGGTCTTGTTTTTGAAGAAGTTTGAAAAAATCTCGGGAACACCTTGTGTTTTGTGTTTGAAATAGTTTAAAAGAATCTCGGGGACCTCTTGTGTCTTGTTTTTGAAGTAGTTTGAAAAAATCTTGAGGACCTCTTGTGGGTTTTGTTTTTGAAGTAATTAAAAGAATCTCAGAAACAACTTGTGTTTGGTTTTTGAAGTAGATTGAAAGAATCTCGGAAACCCTTCATGTCTTGTTTTTAAAGTAACTGAAAGATCTCGCAAACAACTTGTGTTTTGTTTTTGAAGTACATAGTTTAAAAGAATCTCGGGGACCACTTGTGTCTTGTTTTAGAAGTAGTTTGAAAGAATCTCGAAGACACTTTGTGTTTTGTTCTTGATGTAGTTTAAAAGAATCTCGGGGATTACTTGTGTTTTGCCTTAAAAGTAATTTCAAAGAGTCTGGAGGACCACTTATGGTTCTTGTTTTTGAAGTATAGTAACAGAATCTCAGAGACCTTCTGTGGGTCTTGTTTTTGAAGCAGTTTAAAAGAATCTCGGAGACCATTTGTGCCTGGTTTTTGAAGTAATTTGAACGAATCTCGAAAACATTTTGTATTTTGTTCTTGAAGTAGTTTGAAAGAAACTTGGGAACAACTTGTGTCTTGTTTTTGAAGTAGTTTGAAAAAATCTGAAGGACCTCTTGTGGGTCTTGTTTTTGAAGTAACTGAAAGAATTTCAGGAACCTCCTGTGGGTTTTGTTTTTGAAGTAATTGAATGAATCTCGGGAACAGTTTGTGTCTTGTTTTTGAAGTCGTTTAAAAGAGTTTCGAGGACCACTTGTGTTTTGCTTTTGAAGCAGTTTAAAAGAATCTCGGGAACCACTTGTGTCTTGTTTTTGAAGTAGTTTGAAAAAATCTTGAGGACCTCTTGTGAATTTTGTTTTTGAAGTAATTAAAAAAATCTCGGGGATAATTTGTGTTTGGTTTTTGAAGTAGATTGAAAGAATCTCGGGGACCCTTCGCATTTTGTTTTTAATTGAAAGAATCTCGGAAACATCTTGTGTTTTTTTTTGAAGTATATAGTTTAAAAAAATCTTGGGGACTACTTGTGTTTTGTCTTCGACTTAAATTGAAAGAATCTCGAGGACCACTTCTTTTTGAAGTAGATTAAAAAAATCTTGCGGACCTTCTGTGAGTCTTGTTTTTCAAATAATTGAAAGAATGTTTGGGATAGCTTGTATTTGGTTTTTGAAGTAGGTTGAAACAATCTCGGGAACCCCTTGTGTTGTTTTTGAAGTAGTTTTGAAAGAATCTCGAGGCCCTCTTGTATGTCTTGTTTTTGAAGTAATTGAAGGAGTCTCAGCGAATCCTTGTGTCTTGTTTTTGAAGTAGTTTGAGAGAATTTCGAAGACATTTTGTGTTTTATTCTTGAAGTAATTTAAAAGAATCTCGGGGACCACTTGTGTCTTGTTTTTGAAGTAATTGAAGGAGTCTCAGGGAATTCTTGCGTTCTGTTTTTGAAGTAGATTAAAACAGTTTTGGAGTCCACTTGTGCTTTGTTTTTGAAATAGTTTGAAAGAAATTCGAGGACATTTTGTGTTTTGTTTTTGAAGTAGTTTAAAAGAATCTCGAGGACCACTTGTGTTTCGCCTTTGAAGTAATTTGAAAGAATCTTGAGGACACTTTGTTTTGTTTTTGAAGTAACTGAAAGGATCTCGGGGACGTCCTGTGGGTCTTGTTTTTGCAGTAATTGGAAGAATCTCGGGAATAGTTTGTGTTTTGTTTTTGAAGTAGGTATAGTTTGAAAGAATCTCGAGGACCACTTATGGTTATTGTTTTTGAAGTAATTGAAGAAATCTCAAAGAATCCTCTGGGTCTTGTTTTTGAAGAAGTTTGAAAAAATCTCTGGAAAACCTTGTGTTTTGTTTTTGAAGTAGTTTGAAAAACTCTTGAGGACCTTCTTTGGGTTTTGTTTTTGAAGTAATTAATAGAATCTCGGGGACCACTTGTATTTGGTTTTTGAAGTAGATTGAAAAAAGTCTGAAGGATCCTTCATGTCTTGTTTTTAAAGTAACGAGAAGAATCCCGGAAACACCTTGTGTTTTGTTTTTGAAGTACATAGTTTAAAAGAATTTCGGGGATAGTTTGTGTTTTGTTTTTGAAGTAGTTTTGAAAGAATCTCGAGGCCCTCCTGTAGGTCTTGTTTTTGAAGTAGATTAAAACGATCTTGGGTACCAGTTGTGTCTTGTTTTTGAAGTAGTTTGAAAGAATTTGGAAAACATTTTGTGTTTTGTTCTTGAAGTACCTAGTTTAAAAGAATTTTGGGGACTATTTGTATTTTACCTTTAAAGTAATTTGAAAGAATCTCTAGGACCACTTATGGTTCTTCTTTTTGAAGTAGAATAAAAGAATCTCGGCGACCTCCTGTGGGTCATGTTTTTCAAGTAATTACTAGAATCTCTTTGATAACTTGTGTTTGGTTTTTGAAGTAGGTTGAAAGAGTCTCGGGAACACCTTGTGTCTTCTTTTTGAAGTAGTTTTGTGTTTTATTCTTAAAGTAATTTGAAAAAATCTTTAGGACCCTTGTTGGTATCGTTTTTGAAGTAATCGAAAGAATCTCGGAATCCACTTATGGTTGGTGTTTTTGAAGTAGATTAAAAGAATCTTGGGGACCACTTGTGTTTTGTTTTTGAAGTAGTTTGAAAGAATTTCGAAGACATTTTGTGTTTTGTTCTTGAAGTAGTTTGAAGGAATCTCGGGGAGAACTTGTGTTTGCTCTTTCAAGTAGGTTGGAAGAATAATTTTATGGTCAACTTGTATCTTGTTTTTGAAGTAGTTTAAAAAAATCTTGAGGACCTCTTGTGGGTTTTGTTTTTGAAGGAATTAAAAGAATCTCAGTGAATCCTTGTGTTTTGTTTTTGAAGTAGATTAAAACGATCTTGGCTACCGCTTGTGTCTTATTTTTAAGTAGTTTGAAAGAATCTCGAGGACCACTTATGGTTCTTCTTTTTGAAGTAGAATAAAAGAATTTCGGGGACCACCTGTGGGTCCTGTTTTTTAAGTAATTAAAAGAATCTCTGGGGTAACTTGTGTTCGGTTTTTGAAGTAGGTTGAAAGAATCTCGGGAATACTTTGTGTATTTTTTTTGAAATAATTTTGAAAGAATCTCGAGGCCGTCTTGTAGATATTATTTTTGAAGTAGATTAAAACAATCTACAACAACACTTGTGTCTTGTTTTTGAAGTAGTTTGACAGAATCTTGAAGACATTTTGTGTTTTGTTCTTGAAATAGTTTGAAAGAATCTCGGGGAGAACTTGGGTTTGTTCTTTCTTGTAAGTTGGAAGAATAATCTTGTGGATAACTTGAAAGACTCTTGGAAATCATTTATGGTTGGTGTTCTTGAAGTAGATTAAAAGAATATCCGGGACCACTTATGTTTTGTTTTTGAAGTAGTTTGAAGATTTCGGGGACAAATTAATTGATTTTTGAAGTAGGTTGGAAGAATCTCGGAAATCCAATTGTGTCTTCTTTTTGAAGTAGTTTTGAAATAATCTCGAGGACCTTTTGTGGATCTTGTTTTTGAAGTAGTCTGAAAAAATCTCGGGAACACTTGTATTTTGTTTTTGAAGTAGTTTAAAAGAATCTCGAAGACATTTTGTGTTTTGCTCTTGAAATAGTTTGAAAGAATTTCTGGGACAACTTGTGTTTGGTTTTTGAAGTAGTTTAAAAGAATCTCGGGGACCACGTGTGTTTTGCTTCTGAGGTATATTTTAAAAGATTCTAGATTCTGTTTTTGAGGTAATTGAAGAAATCGGAAAGAATTCTTGTACTTTGTGTTTGAAGTAGATTTAAAGAATCTCGGGGACTCCTTGTGGATCTTGGTTTTGAAGTAATTGAAGGAATCTCGGAAAATCTGTGTTTTTTTTAAGTTTTAGTTTGAAAGAACGATGACCCTTTTTGTTTTCGTTTTGAAGTAGTTTGAATGATTTTTGGAAATCCTTTGCCTTGTTTTGAAACAACTGAAAGAAGTTCGGTAACCCTTTGTGTTTTTTTTTAAGTAATCAGAGAGAATCTCGAGGACTCCATGTCTCTTGTTTTTAAAGTAGTTTGAAAGAATCTCGGAGTCCTGTGATTAGAGGCGCCTGAAAGACCGAATTTTACTTCATTTAAAAGTGTATAAAATTTGGATCATTTGAAAAAGACTCGATTTCCAGATGGTCATATTCTACAAGCTGGAAATGTCAAAAAAGATATAATTAAGCTTGATCAATAATTTTCAATAAAATGTTGAGCGCAGTTTTCACAGTTTTTTAGCGCTTGATTTTATTAAAACAAAAAATGTCTTATTTGGAACAGCTCAGTGACTTTTAGACTTAAAAGGGGCCCAAAAATTTGTATTGATTTTTTTGAATGACTTTTTACAAACAGACTTCCGTATTTTTGGGTTCGTTAATCTGTTCTCCGTTTTAAAACAAAATGTATAATAGAGTCACAGTAAATTGATTACTTTCAATTATCACACTGAAACCATTGACGAACCGAGTCAATATTACATAATTTATTTGTTTATAAAAGTGTTAAGTAATAATGCAACATCGAGGTTAGCGTTTGTGATTAACCCTTACTAAAAAAAAATATTAATGGACAAGGTACCGGAAACAGGTAATTTAAAAACCCGTCGTATTGGCTTTAGCCACCACCGGAGTGCCAATTAACCTGTCAAAAATGAAAAATGTCAAAAAAAACTCGAACCGGTATAAGCAAAAAACCGACGAAATAATACAATTAAGCGCTAATTGAGTGCATTGTGCTCTCAGTTACATCAAATTAGCCACAATTAGCTCAATCCCCGCTTTAATCACCGTAATTGAGTGATTAATGCGCAAATCCAGTCAAGTGTCCGGTGTGCGGAAAAGTGAGGTTATGTGCGCACAATCTGGCTTACGTAACCCAAGGAAACTCGGTCATTTTATCTAAATATCGGCACGGCCGTCGACGAATGTGCTCAAATGTGATGATCAAACACACAGTAGGTGCACTACGCAATTCGTTCCGATTTTCAGCGCACGCTTTAAGCAGGAAACTCGTCCATAATTCACCAGGTGTGTGTCATTCTCGCATTGGAATCGGCTTCGAGTGACACAGTTTTTCAGTCGCGAGGATGGCGGACAAGGTGGACAAGGCCGAGCTGAGGAACCGGCTCACCCCGATCCAGTACAACGTGACGCAGGAGAAGGGCACCGAGCGCCCCTTCACAGGTACGACCGGAGCCTCGTGGGGCCGTTCTGAGCGCTCGCGTTTCAGGGTGCTACAACAAGTTCTACGAGCCGGGTACTTACGTGTGCATCGTCTGCGAACAGGCATTGTTCAGCTCGGAGACCAAGTACGACAGCGGCTGCGGCTGGCCGGCCTTCAACGACGTCTTGGACAAGGGGAAAGTCAAGCTGACGCCGGACACGAGCGGAGGTATTTGACAATGAGTGGACGGTTTGTTGTGGAAAAGGCAACGGCTTCCACTGCACCACGATAACCCGTGACCCGGGGGTTCGTTAATTTTTATCAGGAGTGTTTAGACAGATGTGGAGTCGGAGTCGGGGCTTGTTTTCCATGCTAGGTTTTAGTTGGTCTTATCACGTTTGCGCTTCCTTGTTGCACCACTTCCTAACAGAAACGAGCGAGGTTCCAAGTTGCATCGCGGCGAAAGCGTGCGGTTGTTGGTCGGTCTGAAAGCTAAATTTAGAGCTGGTGAGAAGCGCGACTTGCATTTATTTTGTTAAATTGACGCCTTGACGCGTGCACTCTAAAGCTGACCACGACTGGTTTTCGTGAATTAGGGCTATTGTGTTTTTATTGGCGTTGTTGCGTCACTCCAACGTGTAGAGGATTGTTGCTGGGAATTGGTTTGATATGCTTGATTGAGGCGGAATGTGGGATTGCTGATACATGGAATTTAAAAAACACACATAATTGTGTTGAGATTGCTGATGAGTTGTTTTATATCAACAAATGTCGACAATAAACTGTTTTTTGTAGACGCGGAGAAGTACTGTAAACAATTTATTTTGTTGTTGGATAGCCGGAAGTTGACGTTTACTTTGATTGTAAAAGTTTAGAGTGATGGTTTTAATCAGAGCCCACATTGGCGTAATTTCATCATTAGTTTCTGTAATAAACTGTAATAACAAGACTGTTGGTATGATTTTTACTTTCAAGTTGAAGCAATTTTTCGTTTCGGTTTTTTTTTTATTTTTTTCATTTGTTCGATTCTTCAATATTTCGATTTTTTGATTTTTTTTCGATATAGAATTTCTGGAGTTTTCAGTTCTTAATTTTTCGATTCTGTAATTTTTCATTTCTTCAAATTTTCGATTTAAAATTTTTCGTTTCGGTTTTTCATTTTCTTTATTTTTACAATTTTCGATTTTTCAATTGTTCTTTTTTTGTTTCTTCAATTTTACGACGTGCAAATCTTCAAGTTTTAAATTTTTCAGTTTTTCGATTTATCAATTTTGGATGTTTCAATTTTTCGATTTTTCATTTCTTTAATTTTTCGAATGCAGTTGTCGTTTTGGTTTTTTCATCTTTATTTTTTCGGTTTCATTTTTGTAATTTTTCGTTTTTTCAATGTGAAATTGGCCAATTTTTGGATTTTTCAACTTTAAGAGCCGGTTTACAAAAACTCAATTAATTTTTTAATGCGGGAAAGTACCACGTGACCGACTCTACGCCAATCAGACGTCGCTAAACGCCTCATTAAATGCGTGATTAATTTAATCTCAATAAAGCATTGTGTAAACTGATCCTTGGGTTTTTAATTTTTCCTTTATTCAATTTTGGATCTTTCAGTTTCATGATTATTCAGTTTTTCGTTTCTTCAATTTTTGATGGCTTTCATTTTAAATATGGAATAAAAATTATAATTTTTAAATTATTTTACTTTTTTAATTTTACGATTCTAGAATTTTTCCATTTTTCGATTATTGGATTTTAAAACTTTTTCATTTATTGAATTTTTCGGTTCTAAATTTTTGAATTTCAATTTTTCGTTTCGTTTTTTTTATTCTTTCATTTGTTCGATTTTATGATTTTTTTTTTTAGAATTTAGATTTTTTTCAAATATTCCTTTCTTCAATTTTGTAGTTTTGGTTTCTTCAATTTTTAGATTTTGCAGTTCTTCAATTTAGAATTTCCCTAGTTTTCAGTTTTTAATTTTTCGATTCTGTAATTTTTCATTTCTTCAAATTTTCGTTTCAGTTTTTCATTCTCTTTATTATTATAATTTTCAATTTTTCAATTGTTCCTTTTTGTTTCTTCAATTTTACGATGTGCAAATGTTCAAGTTTTCATTTTTAAATTTTTCAGTTTTTCGATTTTTCATTTCTTCAATTTTTTGCGATGCAGTTTTTTGTTTCGTTTTTTTTTCGTCTTTATTTTTTCATTTTTTCGTTTTTTCAATGTTAGATTTAAACATTTTTCGGTTTTCAATTTTTGGATTTTTCAACTTTAAGAGCCGGTTTACAAAAACTCAATTAATTTTTTAATGCGGGAAAGTACCACGTGACCGACTCTGCACCAATCAGAGGTCGCTAAACGTCTCATTAAATGCGTGATTGATTAATTTAATCTCAATTAAAGCATTGTATAAAGTGACCCTTGGGTTTTTAATTTTTCGTTTATTCAATTTTAGATCATCACTTTCATGATTATTCAGTTTTTCGTTTCTTCAATTTTTGATATTTTTCATTTTAAATATGGAATAAAAATTATAAATTTCTAAATTATCTAACTTTGTTAATTTTACGATTCTAGAATTTTTCCATTTTTCGATTATTGGATTTTAAAACTTTTTCATTTATTCAATTTTTCGATTCTTCAAATTTTTGATTTTCAATTTTTCGTTTCGGTTTTTTTATTCTTTCATTTGTTCGATTTTATGATTTTTTGTTTTTTCAATTTAGATTTTTTCAGATCTTCCTTTCTTCAATTTTTTAGTTTTGGTTTCTTCAATTTTTAGATTTTGCAGTTTTTCCATTTAGAATTTCCCGAGTTTTCAGTTTTTAATTTTTCGATTCTGTAATTTTTCATTTCTTCAAATTTGCGATTTGAAAATTTTCATTTCAGTTTTTCATTCTCTTTATTATTATAATTTTCAATTTTTCAATTGTTCCTTTTTGTTTCTTCAATTTTACGATGTGCAAATGTTCAAGTTTTCATTTTTAAATTTTTCAGTTTTTCGATTTTTCATTTCTTCAATGTTTTGCGATGCAGTTTTTTGTTTCGTTTTTTTTTCGTCTTTATTTTTGCATTTTTTCGTTTTTTCAATGTTAGATTTAAATATTTTTCGGTTTTCAATTTTTGGATTTTTCAACTTTAAGAGCCGGTTTACAAAAACTCAATTAATTTTTTAATGCGGGAAAGTACCACGTGACCGACTCTGCACCAATCAGAGGTCGCTAAACGTCTCATTCAATGCGTGATTGATTAATTTAATCTCAATTAAAGCATTGTATAAACTGACCCTTGGGTTTTTAATTTTTCGTTTATTCAATTTTAGATCATCACTTTCATGATTATTCAGTTTTTCGTTTCTTCAATTTTTGATATTTTTCATTTTAAATATGGAATAAAAATTATAAATTTCTAAATTATCTAACTTTGTTAATTTTACGATTCTAGAATTTTTCCATTTTTCGATTATTGGATTTTAAAACTTTTTCATTTATTCAATTTTTCGATTCTTCAAATTTTTGATTTTCAATTTTTCGTTTCGGTTTTTTTATTCTTTCATTTGTTCGATTTTATGATTTTTTGTTTTTTCAATTTAGATTTTTTCAGATCTTCCTTTCTTCAATTTTTTAGTTTTGGTTTCTTCAATTTTTAGATTTTGCAGTTTTTCCATTTAGAATTTCCCGAGTTTTCAGTTTTTAATTTTTCGATTCTGTAATTTTTCATTTCTTCAAATTTGCGATTTGAAAATTTTCGTTTCAGTTTTTCATTCTCTTTATTATTATAATTTTCAATTTTTCAATTGTTCCTTTTTGTTTCTTCAATTTTACGATGTGCAAATGTTCAAGTTTTCATTTTTAAATTTTTCAGTTTTTCGATTTTTCATTTCTTCAATGTTTTGCGATGCAGTTTTTTGTTTCGTTTTTTTTTCGTCTTTATTTTTTCATTTTTTCGTTTTTTCAATGTTAGATTTAAATATTTTTCGGTTTTCAATTTTTGGATTTTTCAACTTTAAGAGCCGGTTTACAAAAACTCAATTAATTTTTTAATGCGGGAAAGTACCACGTGACCGACTCTGCACCAATCAGAGGTCGCTAAACGTCTCATTAAATGCGTGATTGATTAATTTAATCTCAATTAAAGCATTGTATAAACTGACCCTTGGGTTTTTAATTTTTCGTTTATTCAATTTTAGATCATCACTTTCATGATTATTCAGTTTTTCGTTTCTTCAATTTTTGATATTTTTCATTTTAAATATGGAATAAAAATTATAAATTTCTAAATTATCTAACTTTGTTAATTTTACGATTCTAGAATTTTTCCATTTTTCGATTATTGGATTTTAAAACTTTTTCATTTATTCAATTTTTCGATTCTTCAAATTTTTGATTTTCAATTTTTCGTTTCGGTTTTTTTATTCTTTCATTTGTTCGATTTTATGATTTTTTGTTTTTTCAATTTAGATTTTTTCAGATCTTCCTTTCTTCAATTTTTTAGTTTTGGTTTCTTCAATTTTTAGATTTTGCAGTTTTTCCATTTAGAATTTCCCGAGTTTTCAGTTTTTAATTTTTCGATTCTGTAATTTTTCATTTCTTCAAATTTGCGATTTGAAAATTTTCATTTCAGTTTTTCATTCTCTTTATTATTATAATTTTCAATTTTTCAATTGTTCCTTTTTGTTTCTTCAATTTTACGATGTGCAAATGTTCAAGTTTTCATTTTTAAATTTTTCAGTTTTTCGATTTTTCATTTCTTCAATGTTTTGCGATGCAGTTTTTTGTTTCGTTTTTTTTTCGTCTTTATTTTTGCATTTTTTCGTTTTTTCAATGTTAGATTTAAATATTTTTCGGTTTTCAATTTTTGGATTTTTCAACTTTAAGAGCCGGTTTACAAAAACTCAATTAATTTTTTAATGCGGGAAAGTACCACGTGACCGACTCTGCACCAATCAGAGGTCGCTAAACGTCTCATTCAATGCGTGATTGATTAATTTAATCTCAATTAAAGCATTGTATAAACTGACCCTTGGGTTTTTAATTTTTCGTTTATTCAATTTTAGATCATCACTTTCATGATTATTCAGTTTTTCGTTTCTTCAATTTTTGATATTTTTCATTTTAAATATGGAATAAAAATTATAAATTTCTAAATTATCTAACTTTGTTAATTTTACGATTCTAGAATTTTTCCATTTTTCGATTATTGGATTTTAAAACTTTTTCATTTATTCAATTTTT